CTATTGTTTTAGCATGCAGTCGCTTACGATCTGATAAGCAAGCAGCTCTATATATAGTCACAACCACTTTCTCAAATTTCCAAGGTGGTCACTTTCGAGAGCTTCTACTGTAGTCAGTAAAAATAGCTATCTAGAATAATTAAGTTTATTTAGTTCAGATGTTCTATTCCGAGTGCAATCTTTATTGTAATAAGTGTTAGTTTTGTAGTAATATTGCTTATCCTGTGGCAGGTGGTTGTTTTTTTGTGAAAAAATATATTTATTTTGTTTTACAATGCCCAAAATGGGATTACCATTCTTTCCTTTTTAGTCCTCTTTTTTTCCCAAAAACAAAACAAACAGAATCAAAGATGGTGTGATATGCCTATCGATCATGAGCAACCACAATACAAGGTTTTAGAGGTCTTGTAACTATGTCAAACTTCAAGTGTGGAGAAATAAAAGAGAACATTGATTTGGTGTATATTAAACAATGTTGTCACAAGTTTAGTAGTTTGATGTTTGAACAGGGCCTTTGATCAGCTCTGAGCTTTCAGAATCCTTTTTCTTGAAATAAGGACTGGTTTTTCTTCTTGAAAAAATAAATTTTTTCTTAAAAGCAGAAGTTTAACTTAAGAAAATTAAATTCTTAAATAGTTTTTGAATTTAAGAAAATACCTGCTCATAATAAGAATTATTTTTCTTAAATTAAGATTTAGAATGCTTTTTACTTAAAATAAGGCCTGTTTCTTATTTTAATAATTTTCCCTTGAAATAAGATTTTTTTTTCTTAAAACAAGAAATTTCATTTCAGAAAAAAAAACTCTTAATCTGTAGTTTAATTTGAGAAATTTTGTTCTTAAAACAAGATTTTCAGGTTTTAGAGTGGCAACTATTCTAATTGAAGTGGCTCGTTGGCTCGGCAGTCGATTCCCAAGGTATATTATTCAAATGGCTCGTTGGCTCGTCAGTCGATTCCCAAGGTATATTATTCAAATGGCTCGTTGGCTCGGCAGTCGATTCCCAGGTGTAATATTCAAACGGCTCGAGAGCTCGTAAGTCCATTCCAAGGTATATTATTCAAATGGCTCGTTAACTCGCCAGTCGATTCCCAAGGTATATTATTCAAAGGGCTCGTTCGCTCGTCAGTCGATTCCCAGGTGTAATATTCAAACGGCTCGAGAGCTCGTAAGTCCATTCCAAGGTATATTATTCAAATGGCTCAATGGCTCGTCGGCTCGCCAGTAGATTCCTTGGTCTCACTAGCGAAGTTTCTTTCATTGTTTTGATCATGCATGTGACCACTTGTAACTCATATAAAAACCTATCGTCATGCGTTTACGTTTTATAAATATACGTTTCTGAGACGTATCCGATGGTTCGACCAACCTCGTCCCCAGGGTCTTCTCGCTTTCCAATATGGCGGCGGCAGGAGAGAAGACCCTGGCACACAGCAGAAATCACGTGACTGATTTGTCCACGGAGAGTGGAAATTTATTCAAAATGGCGGCCAAGATAAAGACTGAGAGGATCTGGGTACGAGGTCTTGAGACTGAAGAAAAACAAACAAAATGGCGGCAAAGGCAAACGCAAGAGAAGCTAAAAATATGAAAGAATGCACTTAAAAGCCACAGGAATACGGTAGAATGATATAGCGATCTTATTTTCTGTTCAATGACCTTCATTTCGTTTAAGCCTGAACGTTCTAGCGTACACGGCACTTAACAACTGTCTACAACTTAAATAATTTCTCGATAGCGGTCTTTTTTCACTGTTTTCTTTTTTTGTCTACCCTGAGTGCCAGAGGTTCAGTTTTCTTCTTTCGTGAAAGGGGGAGCTTTTTCTAACCGTGAGGGCAATTTATTTCATCTTAGGAATTTCGAGAACACACCTCTGAAGCCAGGAAATTTTTTGTCATGACGCCCATGCCAAAAACCTATCCTATTCCTGTCCTATCCTAAAACCTCTTCCGCTCCGAAATTCAACAAGGCATTAAATTGAGTCGCAGACACTTTACCGAATACTACGATAAGTTATGTCAGTTTTGTTACAGATCTTCGTGAAGTTTTTGACTATTGTTTTTCTATCTGTACACCTTTTAACTGAACTCTGATATATATGCAAAAAACAATTTTTTTTCCTGAAAACAAGAACCATAGAACACTATTTTGTTAATATAATTTGAGGAAACTTTGGTTGAAAATTAAACAGTTCCTTGTTCAGTTTGGATATTTTGTCACTTGATCTGGTACAGGTAATAAAATTATTGTCATCCTTCATCTACTTTACAGTTTCTAGACTTTCTTATTGGCTTTTGATATCTAACCCTGTTCACAATGCTTCCGGGCAATATTTATTTAATCTAGCAAAGACGCTGTCATTAGTTCCCCACAAAAAAAAAATGCCAAGTGAAAAAGCCCAAGTACAAGAAGGTTGGAGGTCAAGCAGCTGAGGATCAAAAACAAATTCGAACTTCCAGCTGGTGAATAAACCATCCTGGATCGTTCCTTACAAAGTTTTACAGTTGTCATTGATTGATAGTCTTTTATTTACTAGTGAAGAATAAGAAAAGGGGGGGGGGTGGAATGGGGGTTAAAAGAGAGGGGGAATTATTGTTAAAACTTTCATCCACTGAAAAGGAGGGCTTATTTGAGAGAGGGAGCCTTAATAGAGGATTTAAGAAGCTGTTATTATTGGTTTTTTTGCCTCTCAGATGTAAAAAAAAAGCATTAACCCTGCTTCAATAGCTAGCAAAAGGTGAAGAGTGTTTCCATTGTTTGTAATATAGCAATCCAAAATGTATTTTCCACGTTGAAGTAGATTTGATTTTTAGAGCAAAAACTTTCTTAATCCCTCATGACTTTGGTTTATTTTACATATTACTTGGGGCTGCACTTTGCCATTGCAATGTGCAAATTGACTAAAGGCTAGACTCCAGTTGTTCAAAAATTTGATTGTCCTATCTGCACAACACTTCAAAAGCCTTACATCCCTACATGAAAAATCCCATGATCAAGACGCTGCAGGCCCCTTCCGCTCTTGTATATTCAGTGGATAGTGATATATGCACCCTTTGAAGCAGTTTATTTTTTTAAATCCAAGTTTTAGAACTGAATTATAGCTGCTTCATAATCATACCCAGCTGGTTTTGGAATACTATAATGCCAGCCACTATTTCACCTGGTCCACAAACCCCCTTTTCAAGCACATAGTGACAAGAACAACATGTACACTTAGCCTACAGTAATTAGAAGCTCAATTAACAGGTTTTGGTTTGACAGAAAACGTATTTTTCTTAGGATCACTGTCACCCTATGTAAGGGAATCCGGAATCTGGGAAATTTTTCTCTTGGAATCTGGAATAAAGGTCAAGTACTCTGGATCCCACTTTTATTGGAATCCGGAATCCAAGTTCCACTGACAAAGAATCCAGAATGCAGTATCCATGGTGTAGAATTGAGAATCCAAGACTGTCAGATTTCCTTGCATGGGCTGATCACTGTTTTCAACTTGATAAAATGAAAAGACATCATGACGTGCTTCCATTATTTTATTTTTGCAACTGGAAAGAAATCCCACAAGCTTCAAACATTAATATGAAAGTTTTTCATTTCTGAGAAAAGGAAACAGTTTATTTTCCCAATGTCTCTGTATTTAGCTATAATAATAAATTATCATCATTGTGACACTGAAAACTGAATAAATGAAAAGTCAGGGTTAAAAATATCAAAGAATATCGACACTATGTTTGGCTTCAATTTTTAGTTTTGTTTCGACATCTGCATCTCTCACTCCTCATCCCCCTTCAAAATCACCGTGGAAAACATTAAAAGAAGGCCAGGTTAGGCCCATGCATGTTACGATCAAATGAAAAAAATGTTTCACTCGACAAAAAACTGCTGAGACAAAGCACAGATTATGCAAGATTTCCGTATAACCCCATACATTAATAATATTATGCGTACAGCTATTGTTCAAAGAAAACAAAAGGCAGAACAATACTAAACCTTTGCAAACGGACAGCTAAATTTATTGATAAGCTGAAGCCTTGCAAGTATTCTTTCACATATCGGGAATCAAAGAAACAATTCTTTAGTAATTTAGAATCGAACACACAAAGCAAATAGCACGAGCAATACCTCTACGCCTTATAATATTCCCAGCGATTACCATTTCAGATATCACTATCTTCGAATCTTTGCCTTCCAACGGTACAGTCACAGTTTTCCGAACAATCAGACCTGAATTCTGCCCACAATTTCGGTCTCAAACACTGAAAAAAGCACTTCTCAGCCTCTACGAATCCCTCAAAGGATAACCATCTTTGTTTTGGAGTGAATAAACCAATGAGAGCGCTCGTATGAACGTGCAACAGAATGCACCAATCAGCGATCGTTTTAGTTCGCTGTGTGCCAGGGTCTTCTCTCCTGCCGCCGCCATATTGGAAAGCGAGAAGACCCTGGGGACGAGGTTGATGGTTCGACCAATTTTCTGCGGTAGCAATAAAAGAAGAGAATACTTTGTATAATAGTCCAGTTGTGTCTCATCTTCTCAGCTAGTTAATTATGCTTACAATATCCTTTATAGTATCATTCATAAGGCACGGATACAGCGAGACCCGCAAAATTGAATGCATAATAACTTTCGGGTATTTGAAAATCTTGCCTTGGTGGGTGAGTTCTGTGGCCCTGTATTATGTAGTTGCTAAGTATTTCCATATCAGTGAGAGTTATAACCTGAATTTCAGCCGCTTCTCTTCCCAAGTGACTCCATAAATTAAATTTTGAAAAACAGCAGCCAATGCAAACATTTAATCCGAGGAATTTAACGTTTCTTACCTGGAGATCCATTTATTTGAACATCAAAGAAGCATCTCGGCCGATAGCCCTTCGCTTTGGGGACAGCCATCTTGAACGCTTCCAGCATTTTCGTGTACGCTTACACGAAGAAAATTATTACTCGAGAGGAAACATGGGATTTTCTACTTGTTACAGGGTCTGCTGACCAGTTGATGTGCAGATGCAAAAACAAAATGGTGGATCTGCGGTCACGAGAAGTTTCCAAATGTTGCACTTATTAGATCCTGGTTAAACTACACCGATTGCACTTGCTACTCGTTTCATTCACTCTTAGAGAATAACATGGCTCACGTTACAGTTGATTGGAATCCACTTGGTAAGGTATTTTATAGGTAAGTGGTTCTTTTCAGTTCAGACTGTCTCCATGCAAGTTGTGGCTCGGCCCATAATTATATAGCCTGCGTAGCTGGCGGTATTAGGGAGTTTAAGATACGGAGACTACGGACTACGAACTACGGCTGGACGAGCGTTGTCGTTTGTTTGTAGCACTGGGTTGAGTCGTGCAAATATAGAACGTTAAGATTCCACTACAGACGGCAGACTACGAGAGAAGAGGCGGAGAGGGAAACAACACTCAAAAATTTTCTTGTTTTCACCACAGTTCACAAAAATGCAAGTCAGTTTTGCATGTGATCTTATCTTTACAACAATGAACAAATTCTTCCATACTTGAAGGAAGCAATTGCGTACAAGTCGATTCGCGTACAAGTTGATTCGCCTACAAGTTTACTCCTTGTTCCATCACCGTAGCTCGGGTGAAATTGGTAAACAAAGATTTGGTTGCACAGGTTTTATTTTTTTCGCCCATGAATACTTACGTAAAATATTAAAGAAATAGACAGAAATAGTAATAGCTCATTTATTAGATTTAGAAGATGGACTTCTCCGACTACTGATCTGATGTAGTTTGAAGTACTGAAATGCCCAGTTTCGATTGTCTCGAAGATGTTTACATCATTTTCATTCAGCAAATGCGATACAAAAACTCGCATAAACAAAGGTCACACAAGTAGAAAGACACACTAATCAGTTCGAACAAACATTGAAACTTTTCAAGTGTGAAGAGAAAGTAAATTACCTGCATGATTTCTCTTCTCGTCGGCCGTCAATCGGAATTCTGCGTATAAACAGCTAAGCTTCTTTAATTATGAGCTTAGCTAGATAAAAATGTAGTCACAACGGTGGATTAAAAGCGTAAATCTGAGCAGAAATTAGACACAACTTACATATTTCGCTTCCCTCTCACTTAAAGCAGGCAAATTGAACCTTTTTTACGAAAAGACGAGACTCTTGAATTACCGAGACGGCAAAATACGAGCAAAATGTTCTCCGTAGTCCCGACTACGCGAAACAGCTCAACAACTCACCGTAGCCGCAGGACTACGCGGGAAAAATGAACAGTCACGTGGTTTTGATCATGCGCAGTAGCATGTTTATCCGTAGCCGTAGTCCGTAGTCGGCGTATCTTAAACTCCCTATTGTGTGGGTACGAGATTGAAGTTTTGGCGGCGAAGCTGTGTTCCAAAAAAGGGAGTAGGGACGAGGCGGTTGAAATACCGCCTGCCAGAAAACCCCGGTATTTTGAATAGTCCGCACACCAGTGTGCGGAGAAACGGATTGGTCGAGGGCCATACATATGTCAATCATGTTAGATGATCCTTCGCATGTATTTTCCAATTAAGGGAGCAGATTGCAAACTGGAAAAGACGTAAGTGATCGTGGTTTCTCCTTTAAAAAGAGCATAATTGATGACCAAATTGCCGAAATGGCATCTTTAAACTTCACAGCGCTGGAATCGTCCTTATTTAGCCGTAAGAAACAAAGGTCAAAGGAAATTAAAACACTTTACAACTACATCTGAGATCAAATCCTATCAGGAACACCTACAGAAGAATTAAATAAACCATAGGAAATGGTTACTCAGTATGCATGTGACAAACAAGCTTCATGACCTTTTAATGTTAAGCCTAGTGTGGCAAAAAAAGATTTACTCAGTCAAAGTTTAGAATGATACTTGTACTGTGTAGTGCTAGTAACCTTCGTGCGAGAGCCGAGAAAATAAAAAAACTTCTTTTCAAGCAAACTCACAAGGTCACGTTTCACATTATCATGAGCTTAGGAGTCGTGTTTAGCCTGTCAACACTTATTTCTGAACTGTTTCGCGCAAAAATAATTGGAAGTTTCAAATTGCAGGTTTTTCTTTGATTGGCTGATTCAGTTGGGATCACCTAAGATGACAAAAGTGGGCGGCATTCAAAAAATCATGGTTCTCTGGCAGGCGGTATTTCTCGTGGCTTTGCTGCTCGTGACGGCTCCACCGTCAAATCTCACTCGACTATGTTACAACGGCTCAGCCGCCAAATCTCACCCGACTACTACACAAATTATACCACCAGCTACGCAGGCTAATAATTATAAAATGCTACCTATTATTGTTTTATTATTCATTCAAAATATTTCCTCCAAGCTGAAGACATCCTTACCTCTATGTAAAATTCCAGTAGTCAAACATCTGCCTGTTTTTTGCCAGTTCCAGATTATGAGGGGATATAATATTCTTGCTGATATTCTTCAAATGGTAGTTTTCAGTGTCTTTGTGTGTTATTTCAAAGTTTTTGAGGGAGAAGTTCAGGAAATTTTATGAGGTTAAATATAGTTACTTAACTTAGCTAACGATGAAAAGCTCCAGTAGCTGCTCAGTAGTTAGCTTGGTATTACAGTACAGGCCACAGGCATTGCAGCACTTACACGCGCGTAAAGTGCGTGCAATATGGCGGATTTCCACCAAAAATCCACGCAAAAAACTCGCGTGTAAATTTAAACATGAGCTTTTACATGCAGGCTTTTTACACGCAAATGTGAGTGTACTTTTACGGTGACTGATTTTGCTTACAAAAATACACGCAAGTTGTGTGTATTTCTTTTACAACAGACAATGTGGCTGATGTAAAATTAGAAACCGACATTGTGGAAAAACATCTTTTCGCGGTGAAAGAGAAAACAACTTGCTATACACTTTTTCTTACTATGATCATGCTACAATCGCGAACATCATGTTTTGTAATGAACGATTTCCTTGGATGTTGGCTGAAGCGCTATTTTACGTGTAAACTTGGATCAATGTTACTTGCCACGACTGTTGTTTTGCAATAAGTTCAATGTTTTAGCTTGCGTAGCAGGCACCCGGACTTCAGTACACTGTTTTTTTTTTTCCTGTATGCCTTTTTTCTAACATTGAATGAGCGTCGAGCTTCACAATAATGTCCTTACTTGTTGCTTATTTAAAAATTTCCATGCGTTACTAAACTTGGATACAATTTCACTCCGAATTTGCATGTTATTTGTGATGCGCCGTCTATTAAAAATAGACAACATTTTAAGTCATTTGATCCCATGCATTTTCTGGAATTAGAAGCTTGTGTAAACGATAAAAATGCAGCATGTTATTTTGTTTGCCCTTGACAAGGGTTAAACACGCTTTGCTGAAAACATAGACCTTAAAAGAAAACCTTTCCTCGGCAGGTAAAACTAAAACCTGGGAACTAAAATTAGTTCTTGCAGTAACGCCATTAAACATAGACAGATGACGTGACTGAGTGACGCCGGTGTTGCGAGCAAAAAGAAACTTTAAAAATTCTTGCCAAAATAACAAGCCTTTCTTATTTCGGACCTACCTTGCAGCAAGGACAGAGGACAAAGGAAATTGTTGCCCGAGAAAATAACTCAAAGCAGCGAGCTAAATAGACGTAGGAGATGAAATGCTGTAAACAAAATAGATGTAGAAGCGACCCTTCACCAAACATAGTTGGTCCATCAAAATAGTCGCGAATTGATGACTGAAACTGATTTTAGTTGAAACCTTTTTATAATCTCTGTGAAGTCTACAAATGAACATTCAAGCGAAGAACATGTAAATATTTAAAAACAATGCTCATTCGGTCGAAAAACTTGGATCACTTTTAGCCCAGATAACATTAAATACTAACATTTGAATGTTTCTCAAAAGTTTTTGCACAAGTACAACTGCACTCACTCAGCGAGTGATGTAAGAACTCAAGTAAACCGAATACACGCAAATTATAACAACCTGCGTGTAAAGTTTTACACGTAAATTTTCCTAATTTGCATGTATTTTCTCGTGTATTTTTGCGTGTATTTTTTTACATGAGTGTTTCATGCGTGTTTTTCTCGTGGAATTTGCATGCAATATGGCGGATTTCCACGCATGAAACACGCGTGTAATGCTGCAATGCCTGTGGCCTGTACTGTAGCGTGGCGTTGACGTTTGTTAGGGTTTTATTGGTGTGCTTTGGCGAGCTGGCAGTTATCCTATGCTCTTTTGTTTTTGCCGGGGTTCATGTTACTGTACTAGGCCTGTTATGGGATAATTTCCAGTGCCCCCCAGGTCAGTGGTTTTCCATTGCAATTTATGCGTCTCTGTTTGCAATGATATGCTCGTAGTTTTAAAGTGCGTAGTGTTCAGGTGTTTTGGTCAGTGTTACTCAGTTAGTGTTTTTTCCCCTCCCTCCTCCTCACCCCTTATTATTATTGTTAGTATTATTGTGGTCCTTTTTTCTCCACTGAACTCTCAGTTCAGTGTGATGGGTGCTTTGGCTGAGGCTTGGTGTTGCTGGCGGGGCTCGTGGCTGGGTTGCAGGTAGGGCAAGCTTTTGGGGTGTTCTTGCTACCTGGGTTAGGGGTTGGTGGCTCCAGCCCGTAGGTTCCTAGGCACCCAACCTCCATGTGCGACTCAGGCATTAATCTACCCATAACATGTGAAATCTTCTACCATTTACTCTTGGTCTTCAGCACCAAAACAGCCAAACCATCACTGATCTGCTTCTTTGCTTGATTTCTGTGCATCCTTTTCCAGTTTGGAGGTGTGTCTGACAGAACGGTTAACACCTTGAACTCCAGCTCTGGAGGTCCAGGGTTCAATCCTCGCGTTTCAAATGGTTTCCTTAGACAAGGAACTTTACACCACTTTGTCTCTCTTCACCCAGGGGTATAAATGGATACCCGCAAAATACTGCTAGGGGGTGACCCTGCGATGGACTAGCATCCCATCTTGGGAGGAAGGGGGAATGGCAAGACTCCTATAGTCATGCTTCATGCTAAGGAAGCTGGGATAAGCTCCAGCCTTTTGGGGCCTTTGGCTTGCACACACCTTTAATCTTTTTTTTTTTGACTTTTTCCAGTCTGAGACTTTACAATTGACATCAGCCTTTAAATCAAGGCAAACTTCTTTCAATTTTGGTAAATAGCCAGCAGGCTCAGGAAAGAAATACCGGGGCAGCCATGGAATTTAAGCCAATCAGTCAGGGATTGAGAAATATTTTAAATGTACACACTGTAGCCATAATTGAATTACAGCAAAAGTTTTCTTCGCAAAATGTGTTTGTCTTGAACAGGAAAGAAGAGCTGTACAGTATGGAGTGGCAAGATGCTATGGATCTATCCCGGTTTATTGTGAGTGCAGCACCTTTTGGTGGTCCAATAGGTAAGTACATCAGACTTCTTCTAAGTGTTGTTTAACCAACAGGGTGGTCAGGTTTCATTTCCCCGCATTATCTGAGGATGAATAGGACTCACCAGGGTAAACGTTTAAGAGCCAGAACCACAGAAATGTTCTCAACAGAACTGTAAATACCGGCATTAATTTGTATCTTATGTCTATATCAGCAAGAGTCCATTATACTGTACCAGAATTTTGTTTCAGTCAACTGTCTGTACATGTCAAGGGATTTGGCTGAAAAAAGTTTAAAGGAAGAAAACAACTCTGAAGAACATCCTGCTTCTTATTATTTATATTAGAACAGCTAATGCATAAAAAATTTCATTACTTTCAAACTGCAGTCCTGCTGTGTTGTATGTAGATGCTTAACTGTCAGCAATAGTTAAAAAAAATAATTGAAGGGCTCCATGCTAAATTGTCTAATGCCCTTGTGGTGTATTTTTGGGATGATTGGGCTTTAAGTAGGTTTAATCGCTAATGCACACCATTGCTAACTCATGTACTCTTCTACATACATGGGGAGTCATGTAGCAGCTGCTCAGAAGAGAAGTCACCAATGGTGCCTAACCCTGACCCCAAGCAATACTGAAACAATTGAAAGAATGGCGTCATTGTTTTCTGCGACCAATTAGGAGAGACCTTACGAGCAGCTCCTACACAACTGTACATGGGGGTGAGGACGGTACACCTAAATATTTACATGTCCTGCAGCCCCCCACATTGAGATTTCCTTTTTGAAGGAATAGTTTGTATTTGTTGTATTTAAAATTTTCAGCTCTGATAAGAGATGACAAGCATTTTGCTCGAGTCCAAGGATCAGCTATTAATAAACCCATCATTCACATTTTTTCCTCTGCTGGAAAAGAACTTGCCACAGTTAAGGTATGTGTCTTTTTTTAAGGTCTACTGCTGCTTGTTGTTTAACCTGGGAACACAGACAGAGAGGAGTGTCGATCAGGCCAAGCAGGCTACTTGTTGTTTAATATTGACAAATTTTGTGAATATTGTTCTTGGCTAGAAGACTAACTGTCAACTTTTTTTGTTATTGCTTTGGAAAAGGGCAGGAACTTGTATTATCATAATTATGGTTGGTTCTGTGAGCAGGAAAGATGAAGTAATATTCTGACTGGTTACTAAAGCAGGCAGAATGGATCTATCTTAGTCCATCACTAGTCTGCTTCACAGCCGTTTTTGGTGTTGTCACACAACGTTCCTACCCACCTCCCTTGTGGGGAGGAGCGTTGCGTGACAACGTTAAAAGCAGCAGTGAAGAAGACTAGTCCATCATTGCATGGGAACAAGAACAAAAGCAAAAATGTTCTGCTTCTGTAGGCTATTGATCAAGTGTTCTTTTTTATTCTTAGTGGGATGGAGGCCCTATAGTTCAGATGGGATGGTCTGTCACAGAGGACCTACTTTGCGTAGCTGATGATGGTACGGTGATGGTGTATGACATTCATGGCGCAATCAAGAAAACCTTGTCAATGGGACAGGTAAGTGTTAAATCATTTTGTGTCATGAAAAGGCTGAAAAAGAAGACATGATGCATGTATGTTTGTAAAGCACCACAGCTTGACAACTTCTAGTCAACTTGAAGCTCATCTTAGCCCATTGATGCCATATCTTATGTCAGTAAATTCTTTAACCACCCCAAGTAAATAAATTTTCTGACAAACTAAATAATCATTAATTTTTCCCTAACTATGAGCAAAATGAATGTAATTTATAATATATTATCATCAAAAACATAAGTCATAGACTGTTTGCTACTTTATTAAAAGGGTTGTACAAAAATAGAGTATACCCATACATATACTTTTTGTAGCAAAGGCATAGCCATTGAATAATATTACCCATATGTCGTGTATGTTTCAGGTCAAAATTTCAATTCAGGTTAAAAGCTTTTAGCCTTGGTTGATTCTCTATCTCCTTTGTCCCCTAGTCCTAATTTATTCGTGAATTAACTCTATGAGACAAAGGAAATCAAGAATCAACCTGGATATGATTTTAACCCATAACAGACATTGTATTTATGTCGTTTTTGCATGTGGCCTTATCAAATACACAGCAACTTCATAGATCTGGTGCTTTTAAGTTGGGTGCAGGAAACGAAACTCGTAATTTTTATCTGTATTATTTTGTAGGATGCCAAGGAATCCAAAGTTATTGACTGCAAAACCTATAATTTTGCTGGAAGGACTGGCATAGCTATCCTGACTAGTAATTACCACTTTTTTGTTGCAAACAACGTGGAAGAGGTCAGGAGTCGACGGTATTATGACCCACCCGGTAAAAAAAATAATCATAAAGTTCAGTGTTTCAGAGAGATTAATAATGTTTTATTTTGAAGTTACATGTTCATCTCACGTGCTTTTGTGATCCATAGAACTCAATATCTGCTTGTGCCTCACTTTCCTTTTGTGATAACTTTGAATTTGATGAGAGTTAAAGTGTTGTTCAACAGGCAATAAAGAAATCTTGTCACGCATTATTCCTTGTAGCATTTGACTGACTTCAAGTGGGCTTGAATTCTAACTTTTTTTTAAATATTTACAATGATCGGCGTGAATATTTTTCAGGCTTTCTTCTCCCAACTTAAATATTTACAATGATCTGTCTTAGTTAAATGTGTATTTTTAGCCACATTTTTCACAAAAGGAAAAAATAACCGGCCGGTGTGCTCTCGATCCCAAATCGTTAAAATTCTGTCACCTAACTACCTGAGGGCTGTCCCTATCTGAAAAAACTAGAAATTCAAATCGTTTGCAGATGTTTTAGAAAACCGGCAGCCATTTTCTGCTTAGCATTAAAAGACCCCGTTCCTAAGTGTTGATCCGGCCGGTGTGTTGAACCAGCGACCTCTCGCTCAGCAGACCGGCGCTTATCCAAATTTTAATAACCGTACGGCAAAAAATGACCAGTTATGAATCTTAAGAAACATAGGGCCAGTTATTTAAACGTAGTTTAGCCAGTGTTTAACAAAACTGCGTTCTGAGCCATTTTCAATTTGCCTAACGGTTTTATCTAAACTCCGTTTATTGTGAAGTGTTTTATGAAAGCATTTAGAGTAGATTAGAAAAGCATTTAACGCACTAAGGAAGAGATCTGGAGGTCCAAAGATTCGTTAAACCCCGGCTTAAATTAAACTTCGTTTAAATAACCCACCCATAATTTTTTTAACCAGGTTTGGATGCTCCACCCAGCAGCTGGGTCATTATGCCGCATGACAGAGGTTCATCGTTGCTAGTGGCAATTGATAATCTGTTATACCTTACAGAAAAGGGACAGTGTAATAGACTGGTGAGCTGTAGTATACAGTAGAACTGCTATCGTGATACATCCTTTTATAATCTAGGCCTTTCAAGATATCTCCAAGCTCGAGACATGCTTTTTTGTAAAGTTCCCATCTTTTTACAACATCTGCCTTTTCGTCGGCAGTTTCAGGATTTGAAGAAACGTGTATCTAGCAGATATTCGCACACTGATTGCAACTCAGCAACGGTGGCGAAAACGTCTCTTAAAAAGAGAATTCGCGTTGTTTGAAACTTCATGGCGATGAATCCAACTCGCATAATTTGTCAAATGCAGGCGAGTCCTGGACTTGTCTAGAAGTTGAATTCTTAGGTCCTGGTAAGGTAACATGCGGTGGGTCACCCCGCCTATCACGTAAACGTGTTCAAATTAAAGTGAGAGATTATAATTATGGACAGAAGGGTTACCCCCACCTAAGCGAAAAAGAGAAAAATTGATTATCGTGTTCACTTTTTCGATAAAACGTGGAATTAGGAAATTTCCCGTCTTGAGAAAATTTGCCAGAAGCGTGATGCACGTGCAGAGTTATTGTTTAAAGAATTTTCGACCGGCTAAAAAAATTTGACCGGACACATCGTTCACCCGCGACCGTTCAATATTTTGTGCTGTTCACACGGAACTTTGAACGGCTATGCGTCTGAATTTTCGTACGGTTAAGGTGATGTTATAGGAGACGATGCGTCGCAACACAGCGTTGCAATGTTGAAACAACGTTGCAACCATTCGAAACAATATCGCAACAATGTTGCAACGCCGTGTTGCGGCTTGCGAAAAATCGTGGTCGCGAATTCGAGTGAACGTTCGAATTTTCAGCCGGTCGAAAATTCGTCCTGTTGACTTTTTGACTTTCTCTTTGCTGTCGCTGTCTCGACATCGTAAATTTCCTCTTGAGTGCCAAGTGTACGACAGGTTGCCACTTTTTACCAATCCTGAATCAGCCACATGGCCTGGCAAAGCAGTGGGTGCAGGGAGAAGGAAGGAACAGAGGGGAAAAAATAGAGAAGTGTGTTGAGATGTCGCATTGAGAATATTGTACATCTCCGGCTTTATCAGTGTCACAACTTTAAATATGAAATAGGGAAGTCTCGATCGTTTATAATGTTGACAAATTTTTCCCTGAACTCACACAAGTGAGTATGCTCGCCGGCTACTGTTGTTGTTGAATAGTTTTGATATTATTCAATTTTCAGACTGTTTCATTCAGCGCTGGGGCCCCAGTCACTTCCATCATAGAAATGGCCATATCTTACAATTACGAATACCTAGCAATGTTTACAGACACTGGTTTGTTATGGATAGGATCAGCAGATTTACAGGTGGGTATAACACTGTCACATTTGTTCAGCCCGCAATTTCAGCTATCAGAGGACGAGTTCCAGTAGCTAGCGCCGAGTTGACTGGGATTCTTAGAAAATGAGAATGAGTGGCGGTCTAATTCAACTGGCAGCACTAGCTTTGATTCTATACCCAGGTTTGAAGAAGGCGTGTAAAAAGGCTTTTGTTTATACTACTCGGATTTGAGGTATCTTTTCTTGTAACAAATGAATACAGTAAAAACCCGCAAGTAAGAACCTGAAAATTAACAACCTGTTAGCCTGAAATTTGCCATTTATACCCCCTATAAACAAGAACCTGTTTAGCCTAGAAAATGAAAACAGGTTCTTATTCTTGAAAGTCATATTAGTGAAATGCAGCTGCAAAGCTGTGTAAGAATCCTGTTTGGAGAATTAGGAGCTTGGCATTGCTGTGCAAATAAAAGAGCTAATTTATTGATTTAATAAAAAAATAAAGTGCAAGAGGTTAATATTGTTGTATCACATTTTGAAGTTGAAAAATACGCAGATGACCATCCTGTTTTGTAGCTTTTTTTTTTTTTTTTTTTACAGAAATAAGAACCTATTTAAGAACCTAAATAGCCTAAAATTGTGTTAACTACTATTTAAATAAGAACCTGTTTAGGCTAACTCCAGAAAATGTAGGTTCTTACATGCGGGTTTTTACTGTACCCGTAAAATTAAAATCTTTGTATCCGCCTTAGTTCTCCATGGTGGGATTATCATCATTAATTTAGTTTAGCCACTTCTTCCTCGGAAACCTTGCAAAAACAGTTTCATGTGATCGCAAAGTTGATATTTATTGTGTTCATTTAACTTGTTGACATCTCCGCAAAGCGAGGAAGCTTAGCAACCCGGGCCGCTAGGCCAGGCTCTGAAAAGCTCAACTTAAGTACGCCTGTATTTCGCAGTTCTTTGAATTTTGCAGTTATTGTTGTATTTCTGTCTTCTTTAGAAAGTCTACTGTGAGTTCAACACTTCTTGTCCATCAAGACCCAAGCAACTAACCTGGTAAGGAGGGAGCAGTTGTTGTTTCTAGAATGAAGCCTGTCATCTTTTATGACGAATTCTCGCCCAGTTGGCCAGGATATTCTTTTGAATTGAAACTAAGAGCCATCGGTGTTTTTCTTTCTTCCGCTACTCATCAAGCGATGTGTCGCTGCAACGTGCTGCAGCAACTAATCTCCTGACCTGTACACAGGGAGTAATCTGTCGCCGACATGTGTTGGTGCAACTTGTCTCCTTGTGTGTTCCGATCTTTACTTACCTCAACTTACCTTACAGGTGTGCAATGGGCGCTGTCATATGTTACTGGGACGATTATTTGGATGTTGTTGGACCGACAATGGACACTATTAGATATCCTTTTCGGATTAACAAGATCATTCTTTATATGCAACTAGCTTTCCAACTATTTGCGGGGCAAGCTATCTAACTGCTAGAGCATGCTAGAATTAAAAATTGTTGTTGTTGTTGTAAATGTTGCCTTGGCCAAGTTGGTCAAAGTGCTGTACGTTAATCATGTTACTGAAAACACCCTTGATTTGAACTGACAATTGTTACTAGTGTAGTTTAATTTTTTCTGTTTCTGCCGTGGAATTTGGTAATTTGTAAAATATGAGTAGTTTTTTTTTTTCATTGGGCACGCTGTTGCCATTTATTTAACAATTATTCCACGAGTGTGCGTTGGATATGAGATTGTAGATAGCCAACGAGCGCCGAGTTGGCTAATCATCTCATACTGATCCAACCGATTTTCAGCTTCTTTTTAATTTTGAACAATTAATTTTTGTCTATTGCTAATATACTCTGATGGTTAAGCAAATCAGATCTGTAGAATTGCATTATTTAATGATTCAGGTTTTGATAAATATTGATATGCAACGGATAGCACACTTCTTCTTAACATATTTTACATATCAGATGGACAGTGCTGTTCATTTAGTTCAAGAGTTAGATGGCGTAAGAATCATTGGCAATGAGACTCATGAACTGCTTCAGCGAGTTCCAGGTTGGTAAATATGATTACGTTGATTCCGGGAGGATTCTCCTTCCGGCGAAACCTCCCTAGCAACGAGGAGCAAGGTGAAACGGCTGTATTCGCAGACTACAAGTGAAAGGTTTCAAAATGCTCGCAGATATTTTCTCTTGTTCTCTATTCATAAAGCTATCGAAATACAGTAGCCAAAAATAACAATCCCTGTTGGTGGCCGGGATGTCCTTAAGGTTTATTTCTTCTCCACAGACATTTGATGCTTTTCCAAATTACCTTCTTTTAAAACGTGTCGTTACCTGTAGGTGCTTAAAGCGAAATAAACTCCCGAGACTGTTGACTTAAACCTTTAGCTCAGTGTGGTCTTGCTGTGGCTCATGTATGATTTTTCAACTTACTTCCCGGAACCAGATGGGACTGACTCTACATTCAGTATTCCCCCCTTCAAAGAGGATAGGTACCCTGTTGTCACGAACAAGCAAAAAGTCCTAAACTTTATTCCAGTCGACTTGTTCAATCGGTTTGCGGTCAAGTCGCCCGAAATCAGAGTCATGTCGCTCGAAATAAACAGCGATATTTGCGTCTTTCTTGAACTTGACATTTGCATAGGTTACCGGACACTGCTGAGTCAACATTTTTCGACTAAATTCCTTGCGATATACTTCAGATGTTACTTCTGTTCAAGTTTATACACTCGATAAAATTTTAGGCGACATGACTTAGGATTTCGGGCGACATTACTCTGGTTTCATGCGATATGACTTCGGGCGAGATGACTTTCTAGCGACTTGACCGGTTACCGTTCAACCAGAACCAAGAGCGCTTGCTGTGCGTGATCGGTAGTGAAATGAACTACCCGCCAAGTTTAAAATTACATGACGCCACTCTAGCCGACCAATAAGGTGGCGTCCTTAAAATAACCACGCAGTATGACACAGACCCAAGAATAGACTGAAACTAATTTTCATGGAAATAGGGTCATGTATGGGGGATTCGTTTTCTTAGATCATCCTCTCTTGCCAGAACCACCTCTTATCACGAACGTGAGTAATTATGTCCGATACTAGAGCAACTATTTCTATTCATCTTTCAGCTGCTGTGGAACAAGTGTTTAAAATCGGTTCAATGGAACCAGGTGCGATGCTGTTTGATGCATCAAAGGAATTTGAGGTAAGCAATGCTTCACTCTCTCTGGCAAAAGGTTGTCGGGTAAAAGGCTCAGCCGCCTATCCAAGCCAGTGGCGGATCTAGGGGAGGGGCCAAGGGGGCTCGCCCCGACCCCCTTTATTGTTAGACCGCCACTGCGAGCCACCCTGGGCGAGCCTGTTGTTGGGTGACCTGTTTTCCTTGGTAAGGTCACCATCCTAGCTGAAGGAACTTTTCTCCATATAATAAAATAGAATCAACTTTATTTATATAGCGCTATTTCACTCCAAAAGCTCAATAGCGCTTTACAGAATACATAAGAAAGAACAATCATGAATGAAGAAAAACATAGCATGATAATAAAAAGAATACCTGACGAACAACATTAAAGTTTCAACTCAAAGGTCCTAAACTACACTAAAAACTAAATCCCCCAAAATTAAGCTGTCGCTCTGATTCTTTCGTGTATATTCCTGTAAACAGAAAAAAAGCGCCCGAGCAGAGGAGTACATTCGGATGATCAAAGAACGTCTTCCTGAGGCTGTCCAGCAATGTATCCACGCCGCTGCCGGGGAACATGAGCCTGCAATACAAAGAGGACTTCTGAGGGTGAGTGTAGTTTCTGAAGTAGTCATGGTAACCACATGATCCCTATGTTCAGTTCCTACGTCTTGATTTTCACAGCAACCCGCCCCCAGGAGGTGGGGGGGTTGTTGACAAGTTTAAGGTTTCTTACACGGTGATTGGTGCTCTGTAAACTGCCAGATAAATTTAGCATTGTTTGAAAAAATACATTATCTGTCTTCCGTTTCAAAATCACCACCTCCTACTGAAAACGTTTTAGTCAATCTGCTGAAGTTCCTTCAAATTCGCTTGGGCATAAATCGTTGAACGTGATGCCGTGAAAAGAAAATCTGTACTCAGTATATCTGGGTAATTTGAATTGAAAGCGAAAGAGCGCAAATAGTTCGTCCATTATGTTTCTATTTGAGGAGTGTAGTAAGAGACATAAAGGACTTCATTAATGCTTTCGACGAACGCGTCATTCAGTGATTTTTCAGTTATACAGGATGAATTGAAAGTATAGCAAATCTCAGCGAGCGGTCAACATTCGCCGATAACACTGCTCTGTTACCATCTACCAAGCGAAGTTTGCAACGTCGCTTGGTCAGAGATTTTAGGCGGGAAATAGTTCTCGTGTAACATGTCATGTGTCCTCGTAGTAACCAACAAGAGCGCTCCGGCGGTCGATGTCGGGGAAAATTCCGCCTATAGTATAACCGTTATTTTAACTGATCTCCACTGTAATCTTTTCTTCTCTTTGCTAGGCTGCTTCCTTTGGTAAGAGTTTTCTAACTGATATGCCGCCACACGCGTTTGTTTCGATGTGCCGGAATCTTAGAGTGTTAAACGCCGTGCGGGACTACATGGTTGGAATTCCACTTACATATGGACAGTATCCTTTATCTTAATTCAAGAGTGAACCAAATTTTCAGTTGTTGCAAAAGCGTCGTCTCGCAGGTTACATTTGCCCAATTGCAGCGTGTGTTGCAGCAAGTCTACGCTATGCTAGCCTCCGTAGCAAGACGAAAATTTTTTTTTATTGTTCAGGTTAATTTGCAATTGCTTAAATTGCAATTTCCGCTGCGACGATCATATCTTCATTTAAACTTGCATTTCCGCAGTTCACATCATCTCCAACTTTTACGACGAACTTGCGCGGAAACCTTTTCTACGGAGGCTAACACTATGCCAGATAGCTCTTGCGTCGGCACGGAAACCATACTGGAGAGTGTTTCTGCCACACAAGAGAATGGTGATTTTGGTGCGATTTATGTAACGGAGCAAAGCTGTGGGGTTTAAATTACATTTTTTAGAGGGAACGAACAAGATATGTCCCTTTTCTCTTTTTTAAAACGGATATGTTAAAAGTACGTTAACACAGTTTTCAATTTTGTGGCTCTTATCAAGTTCTTAAAGTGGGCTCCATTTTGCTTTTTTGTTCTCTGAGAGTACCCTTTGATATTTTTCAAAAATTGTCCACTTTTGATGCCTTGACGATCGTCTTAGACTGGAAAAACTATCAATGAAAACCCTTATCGATAGGTGAGTTTTGTTTTTGTCACGCTGTTTGTTGTCTTTTTAAAAAAGGTAAAACGTGCAATGCTTATGCATTTTTTGAGGGGGAGGGGGGCGGTAAACAAGGTGTATTGCTACGTAGCTGGAATGTTTTCATAACAGTGCGCGCTGTCATTGGTTTCTTCGAGGTCACATGACATCTAACAATGAAACTGTTTCGCGCCAAAATCTGTGAGCGGCAACATTGCAAAATCTATGACGTCATAGGGAACAGTGCATTGTTACCCACGAATGTTGACCGACGACTACCGTTACAGCGAGGTTTTATGAATTTCCAGCTATATAGCCTCGGGCAACATTGAGATTCTCGGAAAACAAATTTAACTGTTTCCCTCGAGACCAGTCATTAAGTTTATTGTAATGTGAAACGTTCAATAAGTTCCGAGTTTCAGGTGAGAATCAAACTTACGACCTTCCGAGTTCGAGATCAGACGTTCTACCCACTGAGCTGATGAGGGCTCTATAGTGTGCAGGGTCGACATTTTTATTGATTATACACTAGACCTGCTATAGTACATAGTACGAAATAGTACTTTTAAGAAAAAATAACAAAATGAATATGATGTATGTCCGATAATCTTTCTCTTTTGCTCGACTAAAATGGTGACGTGGTTGGACATAAATCCTTTTTTAAACTATCAAAATTATTTGCATTCCTACTGAATATAAAACAAGCTGAAGGAAAGCTGTTGTTTTTTTACTTGCCTACTTTCCGTGTCGAAACCATGTTTACTAAATTGATTTCCCGCCGTCAGATCTGGAGCGGGAATTCTTTGCCTTAAGTTTATTTTATTACCGTTTATTTTCTGCTCCTGTAGGCTTGTTTTGAGGCGTCACTACTGTCTGGCCATAAGAATCTGTGATTACCTGAAGATTCCTAAGGGGGAGGGTGCCAGTCGCATCCTTGGACACTGGGCTTGTTATAAAGTGAGTATGATCAGCGGATACCTGTTTTCTATTACCTATACACTCTAAATCCAAAAGATCTGTTTTGGCCCCCAAAATGGGGCCGTTTCGGTGAGTAAAATACAGTACTATTTTTGGGGCTAAAGTAGGCCATTTAGAATGGAGGCGTTTTGGCCCCAATGAACGGGGTAGAAATAGCCCTCTGTTAAGTGGCCACAACGAAGAGGCAAAAGGGCTGTTTTGGAAAAATAGGGAGTAGTTTTGGTTTCTAATAGGGTTGAAGTGGTTCATTTTAAGAGTCAATTCAGCCCTTACAGGGCCGTTTCATACCTTCAGTTAAGATGAAAAATTGGCCCATATTTCGTAGCCAATTTGGCCCAATGGGGAGTTAAAACAAATGTACTTTCTATGACTAAATCGGTACCATTATGTCTGAAATGGAATTTCTTACCAGAGCCGTTTTGGCCCTTAATTATTTATAACAGCCCATCCACAGGGATTATAATGGTTTTTGGTATTCTATAAAATGGCCCCATTTTTGGGCCATTTAGAATCAATACAAGGGGGCATCAACGGTCACAATGGGTGGCTGATTTAGCCCATTGCATGTAGTTATCAGAATCAGTGCACTTTTAAGTGCCAAATCAAGGCCTTACTATAGCCCAAAGGAAAACAAACTTTAGTTCTCCTTCAGGTGCAAGTGAGTTTAAAACTGCTCTTTGAGCCTACAATTAACAGTTATTTACCCTAAAAGTGTTCTAATTTTGTGGTAGATCTAATCTCATTACCTTGCCCTCTCATTTACAATACACAAGAGGCATGCTCAGTGCAATGTAAAAATATTTTATTATTATTATTTTTTAGCAAACTTAACCAAAATTTGGAATGTACATCTCTAAGATAACTTTATTAAATACTGCTGGGAGCCCCAATACCAAATTTCATAAAAATAATGTCAGAAAAGTGACTCAGTAGAACCCTGCTAAATTAAAACTCTCAAGGTTGCCAAGAAGTTCATTAGGCTCAAAATAGAGGGGTTGGTGCTGAATTTTAAGCACTACATACGGCTGTAATGATTACAGTAGAAGTGAGTATAACTTCTTAGGAGCCTTTGAGCATTTTAAAGGCATTTTGCTTCAGAAGTTTTAACCCCCAAATCGTAAAAGTATGAAAAAGAAGGCAAAAATTTGTTCTGTTAAGTTAGTAGAGCTTTTCTCTATACATTTCACTATTACAAATTGAAAATGCCATTGAAGAGTGTGTTGGCACTCGACAAGGTCTGAATGACCTTTATATACCATTACCATGTTAACTATATAAAATGATGACAGCAACGAAAATAATACTCTCTACAATACTCTGGTGCAGAATGGTGCATAACACTATTCCGTCACACACAATGTACACTTTGTTGAAATCAAAGGCCTCTTCAATTGCAACAGTTTGCGGTTATATGAAAGTTGCTATTTCTGCATCAACTGAAGCATTTCTCTGTCAAAAAAGCAAGAAAGAACAACATCAACAAGCTGTACACTTACTAACATACAGTTTCCCAAATTAAACTACATGTGGCAATGATAAACATGATAATTTACATTGACAAAAAGGGAAAAATACTGTTCTTGATAGCTGTAGTTAAGTAGTGTAATACAATGAATGGTTATCATCTATCAAGAACCAGAAATGCAAATTTTACATAACTCTGCTAATCATAGGAAGTAACATGGCCACCTAAAATAAAGTTGCAATAATGTACATGTAAGCTTTAAGCAGTTTAAGCTATGAATTTACCCAGTAGTCAATAACATTACAGATGAAAGTCTTTTAATACATGCAAGTCTGACTCAGTAGCAATAATAATAATACAGTGAGACCTCTAGTAAGCGGACACCTTCGGGAACTTCCCAAGTGTCTGCTTAATAGAGTTTGTAAAAATTGCACAATGTTTGTTAACGATCAACATTTAACGGTTACTCTGTACTGTGATAAAGTTGCATAAGTGCTACTACGATCAAATTTGGGAATTTGTTTTTGATTACATATTTCGAAAATGTATGTAAAAGTGACTTACCGTGCCAAGTTTGGAGTCCAAACATGATCTGGAAGTGTGTTTATTTGCACGGCAATTTTCGTAAATGTCTTGCCGCCATTACTCGATTCAAAAAGTGACCGGGAGTATTATTTGAAGGAGTTGGGGCGAGATGTGACGTAGAAACATCAACGCGACAAAACAACGCAAACAAACGTGGCTAATTTCGCATGCAGGACGAGATATTTTTGGAAGCCTTTGGAGGTTCTTTCTTCGCTTTTTTGACTCAAAGCGAAAGTATGCCTGGTAGATGTTGTGTTGTTCAGGACTGTGGAAACGTAAAGAACGATGAATTGGGGATTTCTATTCATAATTCTCCTGATTCGGACAGCGTAAGATTAAAGTGGAAAAGATTCGTGTCCATTCATCGGAAGAATTTCAACCCAGTGGGAAAATTTGCTGTGTGATCGGAACATTTTACAAGGGATTGTTTTACGCTTGCTTTTCCGATGAAAGACATGAAAAGGAATTTGAAGAAGGGTACGTTTCCAACCATTTGGAAAAAATCCTCTCAAACACTATCAAAGCGGAGTCGACGATCGGTGAGTGAAATTACAATGTATTTGCACTGTGCTTATCACCATTATATTTATTTCCCCATTTACCTGTGACATGATTTTTTTCTGACATCGTTGTTCAATATTCGTGTAATGAATGCTCTGACTATTTGGACTTCCCATATTGTCGCATTTGTTTTCATACTTTTCTGCTTTCTTCTCATAGTTATAGTAAAACGGGCATTTGCGCTGAGTGGACGTGAAGTCAATTCCCCAATTCCCAGACCTTTCCACTCAAGCGTAAAATTTAGAAAAAGTGAAGCTACATAGAAATCCGGCTCTCTATTTTTTGAGAGATTATCTTGCTGTTACTTTGAGATTTGACAGTACTCCAAACTTCCCTCTAAGAAATCTTACAGGAAATTAAGAGTTACACGCGAGTCTTTTAAAACGACCAAAAATGGACTTAGTCTGATTTGTACATTCTATAAGTTCAGTTACTGTTTGCGGGTTTTTTTTCGTTTCTATTTTAATTCTCTTTTCACTGTCTGCAAATGATGCATGCATTTTAAGGCGAAGATGTGGTTAACCTTGCTTCCATTTCTAGTTTTGAAAACATCGACATAAAGCTCACATTTAAACTTGTTTTGAAGGGGAGATATAAAAAATGGTCGTACCTATTTTCATTTTTAGCTACTAAATGAAATTCTGGCTGGTCAAACTACTAATGAGGATACAGAGGAAGAAGACAATCCTGAGGAAGAGGTGATCTCTTTGAAAGGAAGTTCTGCACCTGAGGAGAGTGCTGACACTATGGGGGCTCCCAATCTCAACCCTGAGGAGTCTCCAGAAGTCGAGGGTGTTCTGAATACAAGTCAGGGTTCTTTGCTTGAGGTAAATCCTGAAAAGGAGGGTTGCATCCCTGAGACTGAGACGGGTGAGATAAGTGTTGATGCTGAGATGGCTTCAGAGGTCCTAGGTACTCCTGGTGATAAGACAGCTCTCGAGAGCCAAGGGATTTCAGGCACTGATGAGGTTACTGAGACCATGCAGATCCTGGAGGCTCAGGGAATCGAAAAAGTGCAGGATATGGATGAAGTTATGCAGATTGACGAATCATTAACGATTCCTGAACTTGAACAGGTTTCTATGGTAGGCGCATAACTCTAATTAATGTTTATTTGCATCATTGTATTATCATAACAATGGAAAACTACATGTGCAGTTATTTTACAACAATACTAAAACACAAAAATTCTAAAGTCGTGTTATTACAGCCTGTATTAATGTTGAAAGTTTGTTTTTTGTAGGATACTCCAACTGGACATGCTGGGAATTGCACAACATGCAAAACCCTGAGGAGTGAGGTGACTCAGTTAAGGGGCAAAGTCACAAGACTGAGGAGTAAGTTAATCTCCAATCAAGATCAGTGGGTGGACACCTTTAAGAGCATACAAGAGCCGAAGCAGTTGCTGATGGTGAATGCTGGTGAGTCAACAATAATTGATGTTGATGAGTCATATAGGCATAACTGCCTATCTTTATATTTTTATTACATTTTATCAATATTTGATTATTTAATAATAATTAACATTTTAATGGTGATACAATTTTTTTCATTCCATTTGTTTAAGCTATTCAAACTGATCCATGGCCAGTAACAAATGAGACAGAGTTAGGACTAGAGGATGAATCAGAAGATGAGCAGGAAATGCAGGACGACGCGTATAAGGAGTTTGAGTGTGATGAAGACCCTACATGGAGTCCTGAAGAAATCGAAGATGCATATAAAAAACTAAAGGAAGATTATGACTCAGTGAAGACTCATCAGAACCCAAGGTACAAAGATGCAAAATTTATTGCATTTTAACATCTTAGCTCTAAGTATCCTCTGGGAAGTTATTTAGGCCTAAAACTAACTTCCATTATGAGAGGATCTATTTAGAAACAAGAGTACATGAAATTTGTTTTTTAATTTACTCAGATAAGAATTGCAAAAAAAAAAAAAAAGAGGCATAGCCAGCCCATAGACTGGAAGTCCCAGGCCTAAAAATGTTTGGTTTGTCCACTCAACCACTTGTAATAAATTATGCATCGTTGGGGTGGGCTAGATATCTTAAGGGCTCAAAGTTGTCATGTGTGCAACCAACAGATTTATTATAAAAAAGCATTTTTCAGGATGTATGTGAGAATAAAATCCCAACCCACAATTAGCCAGGTTTACAACAAGTTGAAAAACTTCAACACCCTGAGAAAAACAATAAAAATGATAATCATTTTTTTATTGTTATTTTATTATTTCAGATGCTATGATTAAATGAGTATTTCCTTTCAATCATTTTTTACAGGTTGGATCTACAAGGCAAAAACATTCGAGAGGAACCGAAGGGAATTGTTTTACTTTCCAAACTTCTTCTTTTGTTTCAGTTCTGCCACTTGTGCTTCTTTTCAAAACCCAAACTTTCTGTATCACAGACAGGTACCTTGTTAACCGTAGAAAGTTTCTGCAGAAATTGTAGCCAGACAAAAGTCTGGAAGAGTCAACCAGACCTGCTAGGAAAGTTTCCAGCAGGTAACCTGCTATTAAGTTTTGCAGTGCTCTGTGAGCCGAGTGAAAAGAAAGAAACGATACATTAAAACTGTAATTAAATTCAGGCTGAATTTGATTTAATTTTTATTACTTGTGTACATGAAAATTGGCACAACATCATAATTCCCAGCCACTAAACTTGAGTTTAACTGAATGCTAGAAGAACAGCGCTTCACCCAGTGGGCAAGTTTGTCATTCAACAAAAAGCAAGTAAGTGGCTGAGAATTCTGAAGTTTGGCCCATAAAATTAAGTGCTTACGGACAAGTATTAAAGCAACTACTGTAGGTCCTTCTTGGCCCCAATGGCATACATGACACTCTTCAAGAACAAACAGTGCATTTATTATTCATTTTCTTCATCTTCGAATCCATGATAATGGCCATTTTGACTCCGAAATTGTTTCCTGATTTTATTGTAGGCACAACAGGGCAAGGGTTATCGCCTGGAACTACCAATATAACTTCACAGCAGTCTTGTAAATTGGCGATAGGCCACAGACCTCAGGAATCTAGTTAGAGAAATGAGATCACTGTTAATTCAAGGAGGGATTGGATGGAGATAAATAAATACTCCTTTTAAAAATAAGCAGTTGGGGCAATAAAGCCATTTAGAAAATAAAAAATGTGATTCTATGAGATCAGTCCACGGCGATAAGCTTAGATGTATCAATTATTCAATGCTATGTAAGGTTCGATCTTTCCGATGCAAAGTCAACAATACCCCAACTTACTCATTATCACTTTTGTTGCTTTGCCCACGAACAGTTGCGTGCGACTTTCCAGCTCGCGTTTTTAGGCCCAGTGCAGCCACGTCTAATACGTGGCGGTTTAAGCAGACGCTTTCAAACCCTGGATGGAGGGTTATGCATACGGTCCGGTCTCCAATGGCTTCTTCCATGACCTCTTCGCAACGATCGATCTCTTTGCAGCAAATGCACTCCTGCGCTTTTGTAACAAGCCTGACAGAGCAGGTCGAGCACGAACACCTGCAAAATAATGTGAAAAATTCGTCAAACACAAGAAAAATACGTCTGTATAAAATTATTAATTGTCTGACCTCTTCAATAAAACTATCGCATAAAATCAGGACTACAGCTAATCACATAGCAACGAAATTGTAAACTTAAACAAAACACACAGTCGCGTTCGTCACGCGCACGATTGAACGACGGGTATGTTGAAATTGGAAAATAAAAATATAAATCTACATTCCATGATAATACTATACCATTCATTCGCTGGCACCTCTCCCGAATATCTTCGTTGGAACTGTTGTTCCTCTTCTTCTTCGCGATGAACTCTTTCGTTGTAGTCCGCGGCTTCTTCCTCGGTAGCAAGGGGTTCGCAACTGTCGTCGTACGGCGCAAATTCAGACAATTCCCCAATCACTTCGTCAACTGTAAAACTTTCTAGATCACTTTCAGATGTGCAGGAAGAGGAATCCGACGGAGATGACATCTTAAACGTCTTGTTAAAAGGCTCTAAACTCACAAACTTTTCCCAAATACGAATCTTTTGGTTGACGTTTCTACGTCACAGTGCATAAATCACGTGGTCAAACGCACGACCTCTTTGCGGAGATCTCGCGGGCTATTGCTTTGCGAACTTTGTAATGGCGGACGGTATTTACGCACTTTTCAGTGGGAAATTTCCAGCCCCCGTACGCAAGTATCGTTCCAATTTTTCGCTATTTGTATAATTTTGAACATATACAAAAGATTTATGTTAAAAAAACACGGAAACAAAAACAAAAATTTTCGTCGTAGTACTTTAATTGTTTGTTTGTAAATGCAAAAACATTAACTGACTTCAGCCCGTATTTCAAGGACGTAATCCAATACTACTATTATTAATTCAGTCCAGTGTCTGCTTAATAGAGGCTTTTAAAAATAGAAATTAGCAAAATACACCTTATCTTAGTGTCCACGTCCGTTTAATAGAGGTGTCTGCTGAATTGGGGTTCGTTATAAAGGGAACTATAAAGCATTAATTTCAGGACCCGGCTTAGTGTCCGCTTAATAGAGGGTGTCTGCTTAACTAGGGGTCTGCTTAATAGAGGTTTTACTGTAATAATAATAATAATAATAATAATAATAATAATAATAATATTTATAATAACAATAATAATAATAGTCTTTATTAATTCCTACGATAAAAACTATTATCTTATGTTACAAAACTGTCACATGACCACTCCTGCAGTATTGTAAAAATATTCTTTGTCTCCTAGCCCTAATTTTTCATGAATTAGGGCTAGGAAACAAAGGAAATGGAGAATCAACCAAGATTAAATCAAAACTGACCTGAAACCAACTTTGACCTGTAACATATTACAATCAGCATTACATAGTAACAACATTCTTTAGGTCCCCCAGCAGTATATCAAATGTTGGTCAGTCCTTTATACTTGCTCATACAGGTAGATACAATAATAATTCTGACCTGTTTGTTTTGGCAATTTCCCTAACCATGCATGTATACCCAAAGCTCAAGACATCTGAGGCTGGGCAAGGGGGATATTTTCCATCATACAGAGCTAGATCAATATGCATATGACATGATTTGAGTCAACTTCTTTCGCTTGCAGGAATTTTGACTCTCAATAATTCTATTTTGCATGCTTTATTAAAGACTATTATTTTAGGTTGCCAATCATCCAAGTTACACCTTTTGGAAATTGAGATAAAAAATTATTATCACTTTTAATGTGATATGTAAAATCCCTTACAACAAAGCATTAAAATGTGTAACCATAATGTTTCAGTGACACATCTACTTCCAGTTTAACAGAGCTCTCTAAAAATGGTAACTGAGTGTTTGATTTCCTGTCATTCCACAAGCCTCTAGACTAGTATAAGCATGTTATGCAACCCTCCAAAAAACACACACCAAAAAAAGGGGAATGCCTTATGATAGATGCACGACAAAAGATTGGCTTCATCAATAACAGCTTCTTTTTCAGTGTTCTCCTTATCAAGCGGTAACCATTAAAATTTACTGCCTGAAGCAACAGTTCTCACCGCCTGCAACCGCTGAAGGGTTATTAAAAATAAATATTGTAAGTTTAAAAAATGAGCAAGTTGCGATCCGATCCGATCAAAGAAATGAATGAATATGTGCAAAAGTACTAAAGTATGCACAGCTTTTCTTTTTATGGACCAAAAAATATTGATGTCTAAAGAAAACAGCGGCAGATTTGCGTGAAATAGGTCTTCAAATGAAGGAATGACATTTCAGAGAACTTAGCTCCTAAATTTCTCAGCGAGGGCAGGGTCATGTCCCTCACTTCACTACCCTCTTCCCCCACTTCCCCTAGGAAAGTGCACCTCTGGAGCATTTTTTGCCTTACCGCCCATAAATGGTCCCCTACCTGCTGAGCTAAAATTTAAGGAGAACCCTGTTTTAGCGTCAATTCAGAATAACTGCGACGTTAACTGATTCCCCTCTTAGTGACAAAGACATCAGCTTAAAAACATCACACCTTCCCCGACCTAATATGACATCATTGTTGTAACTGTCTTCATAACTACGAGTTAGTGTTGCTTCATTTCTTTAACTACTTTTAATTTTCTGTGAGACACTAATACGTAATTTTTTCAGAGTTCAATATTTATGTTTTAAAATTCCCATTGCTTTATTACATGTATTTGAATCCAAAGTGCTTTCACTGGCACTACACTTGATCTTAAGGTCACTGATTCTTTTTGTCATTTCCAGCAAATGATTAGTTTTAGTTATAAGATTTGCTTTCTTTTTTTATAGTTTTCTGCCCTTTCTCCTTTCACTTTGTTTCCTTTTTACTCCTGTCTTCTCAAACAACCACACAGAAAACTTAAATAAAATCTGTGATGCCAAAATTTGCCTACAAGTTCGCAGTCATGCATGAACATACAAACCTTTCTGGAGTGAAAATGTAAATTTGTACACAAAATTAAAGACTCCTTAATAAGACAACCAAATGACAAGGAATCTTATTTTTAATCTGAGCTTTGAGTCTAACTGTAAAGTGATCAATAAATGCCTAGAAAATTTTAGAATTTCATAGCATGAAGCTTCGCACCTAACTGGAATATACAGTACCTTGATCACCTTACTAAATCGTTATGTGAGGAAAAAAATAGAAATGTACCATTGATCATTTTAAGCATTGCACTGTACTGTAAAGTGATCAATCAATGCCTAACAGAAAGGATTCCTCAACATCAAGCTTCGCACCTAACTGGCATATACCTTGATCACTTACATGTACATGTAGCAGCCAAACATTCTATTCAAAATTTGTGGAAAAATGAAGAAACTTGAAATATTATCGGAACTGATTTGCAGTTGAGGTCAAAAGATGCAGCTAACAAAACAAAATTGTCTTTCTTCAACTATGTCCGTGGAAACTCGTGAAGTTGCTGATTTATTTATTACTTAATTACAAACTGTTATCTGCAAAACTGGTTTGATGTTAAACTAGTCTGAAGTTGTTGTAATTCACTCTATCAGTTTTAATGTAGCAGTTGTAACATCAACACTGTATACTGCCTACAAGTTCCCAGTCACGCATAAACATACAAAACTTTCTAGAGGAAACATGTAAATTTGCACACAAATGACCCCCACATGCATCTGTATATCTTGACAAGAAAACCAAATGACGATGAACCTTATTTTTATTCAAAGCTTCATGTCTACTGTATAAAAGTGATCAATCAATGCCTAGAATTAGGATTCCTCAGCATCAAAGCTTCGCACCTAACTGGAATATACCTTGATCACCTTACCAAATCGTTATTTGAGGAAAAAAAAATAGAAATGTACCATTGATCATTTTTCATAACCATTACACCGTACTATAAAGTGATCAATCAATGCCTAACAGAAAGGATTCCTCAGCATAAAGCTTCGCACCTAACTGGAATATACCTTGATCACTTACTATGTACATGTAAATGTAGCAGCCAAACATTCTATTAAAAATTTGTGGAAAAATAAAGAAACTTGAAACATATTATTGGAACTGATTTGAAGGCTAGTTGAGGTCAAAAGATGCAGATGAGTGAACAAAATTGACTTTCTTCAACTATGTCCATGGCATGGAAACTGACGAAATTTGCTGATCTATTTATCACTTAAGTACAAACTGTTATCTGCAAAACTTGTTTGATTCCTAAATAGTCTGGAATTGTTGTGTATTAAAATTCATTCTATCAGTTTTATATAATGTAGCACTGCACATGACAAACCTTTCAAACGGCGATGTCATCCTTCGATCCTTTACGAAACAAATGAGACAAAACATGGCAATTATCTTGATAAGAATCTTCTATCCACGATCGATCGATCTCTCGCTTGGAGTAAAATCGCCGAGTTTAGCGAAAATCAAACTGAAATTCGCTTAAAATATTGAGCGTCCGTTGACCTGACCGTTGAATTGAATGGAAGCCCGCCTAAACATTTCAAACATGCGCGCGCAGTTTGGTAGTGTGCAAGGATTTATGGGAGTGACGTGTATATTTTCGTATCCAAACCCCGCGCTATCATTAAGTCTTGGCGGGAAAGCAAAATTAATTACAATAACCTATAAAATGTTCTTACCTGGTTTTCCTCGGCCTCCGCCTTTAATATCCTCTTAAATTTTAATCCTTCCTTAAAATGGGGAAAGTAAAAACGGCATTCTTTGTCGTCCCCATACACTGTAACCATATCATGATTATCTCCATGACGGGCTCCTGTCTCCGTCTAGAAAATCATCTATATTAAAATGGACAGATTCAGAACAACGATCTTCGGTCCAATATGCGCCATTTAAAAAATCGTTGTGACTTAAGACGACTTACCTGTGGGCTCTTCCTACCTTGCTTGTGTAAACTTGTTTGCCTCTAACCATGTCTTAACTTGCTCTTTCGAACTACAAACCCTTTATCGAAGCTCTCGATGATAAAGATAAAGCGGCCCGTACTCAGTGATTAGGAACTAATGCTTCCGACTAGACACTGATAAGATTAACATATATTCTTCAAATCGGTGTTGGTTCTAATGGTCGAGCCATTTTGCGTTGTCATGGGGTCTAAACAGCTCTATTAGTATAGGCCAGTCAGCCCTAAATAGAGGCCAACTAGACTAAAACCTGAAATGTCTCTATTTTTTGAGTAGAAATGGCTCTTGTGAAAGGGGCCGATACGCATCACATGGCTGAAACAATTTCTCCTGTGGGCCAAAACGGTTTTCGATGGGGCTGCAATGGTCTTTATTGGGGTCGATTTAGACCAAATTGACAAAATGGCTCCACGAAGGGTCAAATCAGCTCCAGGGCCTATAGAGCTGAATCAGCACTTTGGGGCTAAAACAGATCTTTTGGATTTAGAGTGTATGTAAGCAGGGGTCTTCCTGCATTCAGCTTATGGCTGGTAATTTGATAAAATTGGTAATGGCACATTGTGGTTGTGGCAGTAGACACAACTGGGGTTGGGTGTCCCGTGGTTGTTTCATCTGCTGAATTTGGCACATTGCTCTTTGTGTTTGTGTATTTATCAAAAAAGACAAAATCAACCTATGAAAAGATCTAGATCAATTAGACTGAATTGTACGCGCTGAAAACAGCGTGGCCAGGCGCCCATCGCGTTGTTTTCGCAATCCGCCGGTCCCGGGTTGGAGTCCGCCCACTCTAGCCACTTGCTGAATGTATTCGCGGTATTTCCAAGTTCAGATACCCGGTCATGCTTGTAAATAGCCAACTGGTTGCCTCCTGCCAGTTGGGGTTTTTAATCCTGTTGTGTTCTATTTCCTCAATAAATAAACAGTTGAACTTTCACATGGCTGGAATGATCACATTGAAATTAACTTCTCCGCCCTAGTAGAATACAATAGTGTCCGGAAATAGTTTTTCTTGTGTTGAATATATTGACATCTCTTTCGATCCTTCACTTCTTCAAAACTTGCTTTTCTTGTTTAAACAGGTTCAGCAAGCCAATGTTGATGACGAAGAGATTGCTCGTGCCATCAACTCCAAGCTCGGAGAGACTCCAGGGATATCTTACTCAGAAATAGCTTCAAAGGCAGTGGACTGTGGACGAACTCACCTGGCGATCAAGGTTAGTTGAGAGCATTCAAATGTGAACAGTTTTATTATAGATTACGTTCCGAGCATAATTTGGGGCATAAAGAGGTGTCCTACGTTAGTATTTCCTTGCTAAATACACTGAGGCTTAAAATGACGTGGGTTGGTATAGAATGGGATTGTTTTACCTGCGAGATTGCTTTTACTGTAGGTAATCAAGAATTTTTTTTAGCATCCGGAGTATGAGGACCGCGCTTTGTAATTAGTTCGGCGGTCCGCTGTATTATCAGCAACACCACTATGGTGAAATATTACTCAATTGTTAAAGGACTTATGTCGAGAAACAAAACGTACGGCTGCAAAGAAGACCAATGGGGGAATGGAATATGGAGAGAATAAGAAGCCTCGTAGTCTTGTTGGAATTTTAATATATCGAACGTGGGCCGTTGATCAATATTTAACAATTAATGAACGAGGCTGAGTATCTTATAAAGAATTATGGAAATCGAGGAGGGTGTTATCCACGGCCTCGACGGATAACACCCTCCGAGATCTCCATAATTCTTCATATGATACGAAAGCCGAATTCAATAATTGTTTTCTTATTCATTCAAAATAATTCCTAGTTTGAAAACATGGCTAAAACATGCTTACCTTCATCGATCCATCGATGTTAAGTTCATCTTCGATAGTGCACGTTTAGGTTTGTCCAGCTCCGCAAATATTCTCCAAATAGCAGATGTCGCCCTTCGAGTTGTCCTCTTGCTGTTCTTGCCATGTTTTTAGAGCTTCTCGGTTAACGGTGCCTTAACCTGCTCGAACGCTGCGTTTTTGACGTCATTTCCTCGTTAAACACAAAATTCTTCCAAATTTGGTTATCAGCAACTGGTTATGGTGAATTAAACGTGTGCTTTTAGCCAATCAGAATCGGGGAAATATTTTGAATGAAAAATAAAACTTTTTAACTTTCACCATTGTTCCCTCAAGGGGTTACCAACATGCTCGTCTCATAGGACGTCAACAAAACCTGGAACGGACCGGGTCAGATCAACCCCTGTAACGCACTGAATAACGAAAGGTAAGGGATAGTGCCTCTGGGAATGATCTGATCCGGTTCTGCGTTCCAGGTTTTGCCTACGGCCTTTCTCGTTGCTTCGCCGCTTGTGCCTCCACGAGGAGACCTGCTTACAGCCTGGCTTAAAGCCAGCCTTGACCTCTAGCTGGAGCAATCTCACCATAGTAAGTTCGTCGTTTGACAATCGGTAAAAGAGCCTATCATAGCCATGCCATGATAGCCTGTTCACAGACCCTCTATTTTCTCTTCAAAGTTCGTCAAGCGTGGGTGATAAAAAATAAACCGCAGGAGATTATATTTCAATAGAACGAAAAGAAAATAAAACAACGTCCGTGTACAGGCTATGCCATGATGCATAATGTATCTTTCAAGATACTCACATCTTCGTGGTCTGATTTTTTACCTGTAGCTGTTGGACTATGAGGCAAAAGCCGCTGACCAAGTTCCATTGCTCATGCGCATGAATAAAGATGACCTAGCGCTCGAGAAGGCCATTATGAGTGGAGACACGGATCTGGGTGAGTTATAAGTGGGTACCACTGCGGAGAACTACAGCTAACTTTAAGTATAGTGGATGGGAACAATTTTTGAAGCCCGTTTTTGTTTCGTCGTAGCCGCAAGAGCCGACTTATAGAAAGATCTATCGTAATGTTGAAATTGTACCAAAGGTTTCAAAAATTTAGAATAAACTTATTCTCAGCTTAAAAGTTGGCGTTACAAGCTGAGACAGAGGTTCAAACCTTAAAACATTTTTGAGATCGTTTTGTTGCTCATTATTTGGATCTTTCCTCCCCGTTGACACAATTTCAAGTATATTTTTTTCAACCATCTTGATCCTTACGCGCTCTCCTCCAATGATAACAGCTTTCTCTGGTCAGGTGATCAAAATTGATGGATCCAAACTGCCGTTTTCCAAAACCCGCCAAATTGTTTTTCCCCTGTATCTAGATGACATTTCATTTGTGTTGTCTTTTTTTCTTTCTAGTGTATATGGTTGTTATGCATTTGAAGGATAATCTAACTCTTGGTGAGTTCTTGATGGCCATACGTTACCATCCTGTGGCACTCAGCCTCTACATCAAGGTTAGTCTATGAAAAAAAGTTGTGTAAATGAGAACGTATTTGTTCAAGGCTTCAACCAAGAGAAAATCCGCCATTATTTGCCAGGAGACATTTTTTCCTCTATCACTTCATTTTTTTAAGGTCATGAAAATGACGTTACAATGTTGAAAACTTAAGTGGAGGAGTAAGAGGTTTTACGGTAAAGTTTGGAGCATTTCTAATCTCATTTCTTTGAAATGTCGGAGTGGCGGCAGCGAAAAATGGCTACGTTTCTATCAATTTTTTACAATGTCCCGGAGAATCGCACTCAAGAAACAGAGAAGAGAAGAACCTTCAGTTCTGTTTCTCTTCTCTGTACTGTCATAAGCAAAAGTTCTCGACCAATCGGGGCACGTAAATCACTCGTTTATCGTAAATCATTAGACTGTGTGGCAGGCGTCTTAAGAGGTATTAGAAAAAGTGGAAAAGGGAGGGGTAAAGGGAAGAGAAAAAAGGACACCTTTTTTCATTTCTGCTTCCTTTCCCTTCACTCCCCTCCCCCTCTTCTCTCGTTTTTGCACCTGTTACGCAAACTACCACGCAGGCTATTGTGAAACCTATATATTCACTTTCGCATGACTGTGATTTGTCTGCAGTACTGCAAGGATCAGGATCGCCGTACACTTGTGGACCTGTTCTACCAGGATGACCAGTTTATGAACAGTGGTAATGCCTTTGTGCAGGACAGCTACAGCGAGAAGGTATCATAAGCTAATAGCTTGAATGCTATCATGCTTAGGAGGGGATCTGGTCGAATGTTGTTTTATTATTTTATTTCTTTAATATTTAATTTCAATTCTGAGCAAAGGGGTGCGTACGCTTCACTCAGTTTCTTCATGGCGTCATAGATTATTTTTGTTTTCGTGACTTAAGGTGACTACAAAGCTCCCCTCAACCTCATTGCCAGGACGTTTTCCGGTTAGAAAATGGGATAAACCCCTGTGAACGAATGGTCGGCAGCAATCTTGTTTATTTTGAGCGTCAAGAAGAGCCAAGAATACGTGTAGCAACTCTTATTTGTAATTTAACTCGCCAATTCTCGTGTTTAAACTCGAAACCTTTAGCAAAATTCTTTCTAATCATAACCAGTGATATCTACTACACATGCGCTAATTGTTCTTCGTTGTAAATAGTGGCCCTCAATACATGCAGCGACCACGTGACCAAAGGAGACATAAGACAACAAGTTATCTGTTATTTTTCACAGGGATCGTACAGCGAACAAAGCGCGCGCGCCTGAAAATCGCAGCTCTACAGGAAAGGCCGTCACGCGAAGGGTTAATTGTTTAGTTGCGTAACGCCTTCCGGTCTCTCTCCCAATCTGCTCCGCAGAGCTTTTACTAACCTTGTCTGGCGGAGCGGTTACTTTTAGTGCTAAACCAAAAGGATCACATCCTTGGAAAAGAGATTGGCGCTCACATTTTTATTCCTTGAGAAATAGGAGGTAATTCTTTATCTATGAAGAGTTGCCGGCCATAGAACAGAATCATCCTTTTGATATCTCTTGTCAGTACACTTGACATAAAATATGATTTTCTTCTATGTTATTATTTAGACAATAGAATCCAAGATGAACACATTGTCCAAAGCACAGATGTCTTACCAGCAAGGAGGATTTCAGTTCTACTCAAAGGTGTGTGCTCTCCAAACTCCTTCAACGCTAGAGCCACTCATTCCTTACTATGTGGAGAAACAGAAGACCGACGTTATGTCTTGTTTAGTAATCTAGGATACGGGATAAACTTGCGATATTCGAACCAAAAGCACCCTGAAACTCTCCACTCCTCTAGCTGTGATTGATTAACAAATACCTTGACTGTGCTTTGAAGTGATATAAATCACGCAGGAGAAGCGCCGGCTGGGGTACGAAAGGCCGAGTGTAGGGGGAAGCACAAGACTTTGTCGAGAGTGTTTATCCCTAGTTCTTAACTGCTTTGTAACATAACAAAGCACAGTAAAGGTTTCTTTATTTGTTTTATGATAAAGAATCCGTTAAATTCGCCACGCATTACTTTCTAATTTTCCAAACAAACTATTGGCAAATGGTGTTTTATACCCTGATAAACACGCTTTGCCATGCAATCAGAGTGCGCGTTAAAAGAGTCTTTTCACATGACGTCATGGCGGCCATATTGGTGTCCCAAACCAGTCCTCTGCGAGTTGAACTCTTTTCTTTATATGCAAACGCTATCTTTTGTTCCAACAAATTTGCGTAGATTCTGGTCACGTGAGTGAAAACACTCTATACTGATCTGAGCTATACTAGTAATAGTTGACACTACAGCTGCCCCCGCTCTGTATATTGTTGGTCAGTAGCATTCTTGCTCGTTGTGTAGCTCCTTGAAATATACCTATTCAGAAGGAAGATTTTCACACATATTCCATGCAATAGGTGAGATAAATACAGGAAACGCAAGGTTCCATGCACAGTTTCAGGTCGATTTACACAGCTTTGATCAAAACATTCTCAGTTTCGAGAATACTTTATTCTAAACCATAAGAAAACATTTAATTAGAAGTTGAATTTTGCGCCATTTCTCTTTCACTTTTTACATTCAGTTCATTTTATTTGCCGGAAAGGAAGCCTTAGAAATTAAAAGGACCTTTGATCAATTCACACTCGCGCATTCTAGTCTTATTTTAAACTTTATAGCAGAAGGACATCTGTGAGCATGGAATAAGACAGCACAGAATTTGATTGTCGGCGAATTTCTGTAATCGTCCATCGTTCTGCTAGTGAGAAGCTAGCCGTTGTTCACTCGTCTTGCTTGTTTGGGGCTGAGTCTTATTCCGGTCAAAGAGAGAGAAAAAGAGTGTCTGGCAAGGTTTTCAGTGAAAAATTTGTGAACTCGTGTCTGGCAAACTCTCCAAGTGTTTATATATACACAGCTATACACACCTTATAAATTCATCTGCGTTTAACTTTCACTGAAACAACTGCTCCACAGAATGTTACTGATAACACTAACGCAAAAGAGTGTCGAAGTATGACTGCACAATAAATGTCACAAAATCTACCTAAGCGGTCCCTTGCGGGATGTTCTGTCTTTCCGTTATCCTAACTATTTCGTACTTGCGGGCGCAAACAATAGAAACGTCATCATTACCTACCGATTCCTCGCGGCCCCTGTTCAAGCAAATCGAGTTTTTTTCTATATTGACTGTATGACTGTATATTTCAACTGTAAGTACTTTCCTTAATATACGCGCGAGTTACTAGAGTGCCTCCTCGGGATTTCGCCTTCTGGGCGAAATCCCTGCGGGGGCAATTATAAATACCGTATTAACACAACATTTCTTGTCAGTGATGCATTGCATGCACGCGCGATTCAATTTTCCAGGCAACAGAAGAACAAATGAAACTCATGGAATATCAAGTCAAACTAGAAGAGAAGTACAGAAAGACATTTATGGATCTGTCCTTGAGTGATACTATCTACCAGGTGCGATCAGTAACATACTCAACTGTGTTAGCCTTTATTGTGGATTTAGGCTGGTTAACTGACCACCTACCCCTCCCCTAAGTCAACATTAACCCCTACTTCTTATTTGGGGACAAATTGTAACTTAAGGGAGGAGTAGGTAGTCATTTACTCAAAAATCACAGTTGATCCAAAAATCGTCTGAACCGTAGCTTTTGTTTGAATGATCAAAATTAAGATGTCATCAATATGCTTAATAAACAGTACCGCTGGAAATCTCTGCCAAGTACAAGCTTTCATTGGAATGGCCATACCAAAAGATTGCATCTACAGAATCAAATCTTAGAACTTGGAATTAACAGTATATGCAGGGAATCCTTGTTCAGTAGCTTTCGTTCGAATTGTTGTTCTTAAAGATTTTATCCAGACTTGAAGTAGTTAAAATTACATTGCAAAGCACAGTAAACCTTTGTGGAAAGTACTATTAAGTAGCTTTCTTCAATGTCAATTAATTCCCATACACTATCATACTGTCCTGGGGTTCGTTTCTAAGGATTACTTTATACTTTTCAGTGCATACTTCAAGGAGAGCTAAAAGTCGCTGAGCAACTGAAAAAGGAATTCAAGGTTCCGGACAAAAGGTTTGTAACATCTTTTTTTTTTTTTAATCAGAGATCGCGTAAACAACGAGACCTTTGACATCCAAGGACCCTTTTTTGAAACAGCCTCTAGGTGCACCACGTTAAGCTAAGGCTTGCTTGTTCACACCGCTGATTTGTAGCCTGTGCATTTGAAGGGGAAGAGAAATGTGGGAATTAGGGCGCGTGAGGGAGGAGGAAAGAAAGGGTTTCCGTCCTTTCATATCCTCACGCGTCCATTGCGTTCTCGTTCGCGTTCTCAGCCCGTTATTGAAATAGCCTTTAGTTACACCATGTAGTGTTAAGTTTTGTTTATTCACCCCCCCTGATTTGTAGCCTGTGTCAAGCATTTGAAAGGGAGTAAAGGGGGAGGGGATAAGGGCGCGTCAGTATGTTAAGGGAGCGCGAGGAGGAAGGGAAGAAAGGGTTCTCGTCCTTTCTTGCTCACACGTACATCGCGTTCTCTTTCTCACACGGCCCGTTTTCGAAATAGCCTATAGTTGCACCACGTAGAGCTAAAGTTTGCTGGTTGACACCCCTGAATTGTAGCCTGTGTAGCAGGCGTTTCAACGAGTAGTGAAAAGGGGAGTGGGGGTGGTTAAGAACGCGCGAGGAAGAACGGCAGACAGGGATTCCTTCCCTTCGTCCTCGCGCGGCCATCGCGTTGACGCGCACCTCAGTCATTCCTTCTTTTCCTACCCCTTCAAACTCCTGCCTCATAGTTCAGCTCATTTGCTGCAAGTCATGCATTGTGTTGTCTTCAGGTTTTATTGGCTGAAAGTAAGATCCTTGGCTGAAAGTCACAACTGGCTGGAACTCGACAAGCTTTCCAAAGCTCGTAAATCTCTGATTGGATACGAGGTAACTTCATTGACAAGGTTTTCCGTAACCTGACATCAGGCGTTAGATTCTTTTGGGAAGAAGGACCGCCGGATCGCAAGTTAGGTTTTCCCGAAACCGGAAACGGCTTTGTGCCAGAGTCCAACCTTTCTACAACGGCTCCCTTTAGAGAAAAGTGCCTTTTCTAGAGGAGTTGCCATTGTGGGGAATAAGGGGGCATTTCGGAACACTCCGGAATACCCCCCGGAACATCCCCTGGAACCTGGCAATAGGTAAAATGAAAAACACAAAAAGAAACCCTAACCCCACTGTATAAGATATTAAATGTTCAAGAGTAAATGTACGGACTGTCTGCCGGAGTAAAAATGATGGTCGTCTTGGAAAGACGTCGGTATTTATCAAAAAGCATTTATTTCTTTTTTATTATTAAAGACTACGTTCATGAGTTTCCATAACTCTGTGAAACATTGTGAATAAACATTCCAGTGTGAAGACGTTGTAAATTTTATGTACATTGCTTTCTTACAGCCATTTTTTGAAGCATGCCTGGAATTCAACAACAGAATAGAAGCGGAGAAATATGTCTCCAGAGTTCTTCCCGAAAACAAGGTGGCGTGTTATGTGAAACTCGGGTGAGTTTATCAGTTCATTGAAGTTCTTACTGTGGTCAAAGTGCTGGCTAGACAAACTTACCTTGAGGTGTGGTCACTTGTGTTGCGACTATGCCGATCATCCTTTCCCCCCAGAACCAAGAAGCGCGCACTGACCACAAATTTCTGTTTATAACCCTGGGTGATACAAATTCGTAAGGGATTGGGAACAATAACTCGAGTTCTGCACTGCTAATTGATGCTACCCTGAGAAAATAGCTGACAATTTGTGACACCATGACTGGTTTCCTCACGGACTGGTCTGAAGAATTTTCGCAGATATTCCATACTGATGTGACGTGTAGCTTTCTATCAGTAAAAACAAAATTGACTGGTTTGTTGCCTAGGACTCGTCATTTAATTCCTTTGATTTTGATTTAAATATTTGATTTCGGACCCGAAAAGGGACAGGGACTTTCGAGAAACGAGCTAATCATATTGCACCTATTTATAAGCGACATTTTAATTTTTGTGCCAGGAAATACGAAGATGCGGCGGAAACAGCTTTTGCTCAGAAAAGCGAGGATGGCCTGGATCTAGTCCTTGGAAAATGTGCAACTTCAAATCGTCCGTTGGTGAACCGCATTCAAGAAATGAAGGCTCAACTGCGGCAAAGACGATAAAATTCACAGATGGATTGAAATCTTAACTCCGAGATAAATGCTCAGTCGAAGTGTTCAGTAGAAAAACCTTGCTAAAACGTATTTTGAGCAGGTGACAAGTGCACCTCCGTGGCTGAGCCTCGGGATCCGTTTTACCACACACGGAAAAGATTACAAGATCTTATGCTATGACGGTTACCGGTCGTTTCGATACAA